CTGCAACCCTCATTCTGGACTCTTATGATAATCATAATGCCCTAAAATATATTAATTTTAAACTATTCTCTCCCTCATCAGCTTCAATGCAGTAAACATAATTTATCCAGTTTTTTGAGTCTCTGTTAAGTGAGATATGGTGCTTTTTGGTGCTTTTCTTTTCCTCCCTCTTGACTTCCACTTCGTTCACATTACTGAGAGATCCTTAATGCCCCCTCCCTTTTAAATGCAGCTCTTCATAACCACCTTCACTGCCTTTGGCTGAGCTAACATACATGTCTTTGTCCAGGGAGCTTAGATGCCCTGGTCCATATGGTGCCGTGCTGCTACCCCAGAGCTGGCCGCTCTCTGACCATTTGAGCTGACCACCAACTACTGTGCAGAAATAAGCCATCTCCTTCCATCTGATTTACAGCCTCTGAAACCTGCTGGAGGGTCAGCTGTGGATTCATTACGACACCACCTCTACAGCTTTGGACTGAACTTATGTAGTGGTATTTGCTGTAGAGAGGTAACTCCTGGTTGCTGTGATGCTAAACACTGTGATACTGATGCATCAAATGTGGTAATGGTCACCCATGGTGGGACAGAGTTTGGTGGAGCTCCCTGATTAAAACTAGTTTGGAAGCAGGAGTGACATCCACTTCCGAAATAGCTTGCCTCCGGAAACTATGAATTTAGAGAAACGATGATAGTTATACAACAGGGTTCAGGTCTCTCCTTCATAAGGACACTATGAGTCCTCTCCTACTTGAGGGCACTTAACAACAACATATTTTGTTTCTTTGTTAAAATTAAGCCTTTCCATAAAATACTTTAAAACATTAACATTATATCAAATCATTTGAAATATTTAAATACTAGATAGATTGTTCTCTCTCTTGTCCATTTTCAGTGTTACAAATCAGTTGTGATTTCATGAAACTTATTAATGACTAAATGATGGGAGTTTTTTAATACCAAAGCAAAGACAACTAGGTTTAAACTCTGTCAGGGACACTCTGAAGGCAATCACTTTCTAAATGCCCCACGAATCATTTTGGGGTTTGTACACTACTAAATTGTTGTTTTTATTAGGCACTGTTGAAGCAATTCCCACCCCAGCCACCTGCATAAACCAGATCGAAACCTTGCCCAATTCGGCAGCATCACCTCGATCTCCACTCTGCTCTGGTCCATAGCTGCAGTCACTGTGCCAGTCCATTTCCTGAGGGTCATCTTTTCCTTCAGTGACCCTCTACTCTTCTAAGCATGATATCCTTCTCCAAAGACTGGTCCTTCGTCACAATATGCCAAGATTATGTGGGGCAGACTCACCATCCATGTATTCTAAGCACCCTCTGGTTGTTCTTCTTCCCAAACCGATCCCTTTGGGTTCTCGGCTGTCCATGGGATGTTTACCAACACCACAATTCAAGGACATCAGTTCCTTTTCAGCCCTCCTTATTTATGGTCCCATTTTCACATGCATATGAAGCAAATGGAGTGACCCTGGCTTGGATCAGGTGTGCCTTAGTCTTTATGGCGACATCCTTTCCTTATAGCATTTTAGAGAAGTCTCTGACAACAGATTTTCCCGTTGTAATAGGTCATTTGATTTCTTGAACTATTTCTTCTGTGTAACCAAGTAAATGAAATCTTTGACAATTTTAGTTTTCCTCATTTGTCACAGTGTTGCCTGTTGGTCTAGTTGTGAGGATTTTTACTTGAAAATTAAATGCATTGGACAAGAACAAACTGGGAGGAGGGTAGAGAGAATAGTGCAACAATGAATGAGTGGAAGCCCAAAATCTCTGTAAATGTTTATGAAAATTAATAAAATATAATTATAGGAAAAAAAAAAGAAAATTAAATGCAATCCGTAGTGCAGGCCGTACTCATCAGTCTAACTAATGAATTAGAGCAGTTTAAATAATGCAGGCTTAAAGATGCACTCACTGTAGATGAACCAATATGGAGTATTTCTTCTTAACATGAAAATCACTTTCCTAGGAGGAGTCTCATATCATCTGTAATGTGACTTTCTCATGAATTTGTACTGCTAAATGTCACATATTATACATGCATGTAGTGGTGATGGTGGTGCGGGCCTGTGGCTTGGCTTGAAAGTACTGAAATCCTATGTACAAGGGGGTGAAATCCACCCCAGCCCTGCACATCTCCACCGTCTTTGCTGTGTTTGAGCCCACTGCTGCGGTCACTGTGTCAGTCCTTGTGTTGAAGGCTTTGCTCTTCCTCATGGACCCTCTACCAAACCTGGTAGTTCTGTGAAGGGACTGGCCCCTGGAGACACGTGGCCAAAGCGTATGAGATGAAATCTCCCCAGCCTCACTTCTAAGGTCACCACTTTTCTTTATAAACACGCTCATTTATCATTGGATAGGGTTGGGTTTTTTTGGTGTTGTTTCTTTTTTTTTAATCAAAGCTTTACAGTTTAGTTGTTAATATCAGTAACATGAGAACATATCTTTCACTTTAAAAGAGAATGATTGAAATATTTCAAATGCCTGTCCCAGTGCCCCATGATTGTACGAGTTCTAAGAGTAGAATTTACAATTATTAAGAATCTTTTAAAAAGAGGAACGTGATGAACTCCCATTTCTCTATTAAAATGGATTTTTGTAGATAAACCTCAGAGTTTTCTTCCATATAATGAGATACTTTTAATGTGGTGTCTAGGAACATCTTCTAAAGTCAATGAAATAAAGTCACCCCTTAGTTGTTGTTGTTTTCCATCAAATCAGAACCGGCCCATCAGTAACTTTCCAGAGGGTTTTCAGAGGCAGTGTAATTGCACAGGAGAGCAGATCCCACGGAGCAGATTCAAACTGTTTGCCTTCAGGGTTGCAGCACAGCTTCTTACCACTAAGCTACCAGAACTCCCATAAATCAGTTATACAAATTTAAATGATTTAAGTCAATCAAATAAAGTCGTCCCTTAGTAGTGATTATAAAAGAATTCTCTCCCACAGATGCTTGTATTACTGCCATTTCTACTGTCTAGCATAGGGTCGCTATGAGTTGGAAACGACTCGACAGCACATAACAACAACAACAACAACAATCGATAGATATTTTAGTCTCCATCTTCCAGCCTATTTTAGAGCACTTTAAAAAGCAAGAACTCAGTTCTTTGGGGATTTTTGATTGTGCTTTAAAACCTGACTGCTGTTTTCCTTCCCTTCCAGGTGAGAGGCCCCCCCACTGCAGGGGCATTTAAAGAAAGACCAACGAAGCCCACAGCATTTAGAAAATTCTATGAGAGAGGAGACTTCCCAATCGCCCTGGAGCATGACACCAAAGGAAACAAAATCGCCTGGAAGGTAAGTTGGGGCACAGCTGTGACAGCCAGCCGCACTCAGTGACGGTGACATCTCCCAGTGCCAAACAGACTTGCTTGGTAAGTCAATAAAGTCCCCTCATTTGTCCCCAAAGGAAGATGGTGGCTTAGCTCTCAGCAGAAGCCTCCTTGCGTCAGCCCGTCCACCTTGGCTAACAATTAAATTACAGCCTGCGCAAAGGAAAATGACAGAGTCGCCTTGCCCGGGAGAACTGTCTGCTGTCCAATCCATCTCTATTTTTATGAGACGCTGGCAGCCCGGCTCGTTCCAGGCAGTCCATCAAAAGATGGAGCCGGTGGCTGGACAGAGTGAACAGAAGCTATTTATCTCCCCCAGATTTCACCTTCCTGCAGGACACTTCCAAATGGAAGCTTTAATTACCTAAATGGATAGGTCAAGATTGCCTGCCCTCTGCAAATGCAGAACAGAATACCAAAGCAGGCCTGGCCCCGTTCTCCAGCCATCCTGGCTTCCCCGGCGTATGTCAGCCGGCACAGTCACTGTCATACGTGGCCCTGTTAGAGACTGACCTCCCCGCCGAAACCATTACATCCCCGACAGCCTTCTGACAAAAGGTTAATTGGCTTCAAAATAAATGTATTGCCTAATGACTCCATTCCAGCGGGGCTGTGTTTCTTTCTAAAAGGCTCGCTGAAGTTATTTGTAAAAACTTGCCAATCCCTTAACTAGAGAAGGCTTTTACATCTCATTTGAAAAATGAATGCTGATCCCTCACCTGCGCCTGCTATTTCATTATTTTTGTTATCAGCGACGTGGCATTGGGGAATTATTTATCAACTGAGGGGCCTCAGCATAAAGACAGCAGAGAACACACACAGGCTGCGGGTCCAGTGGGTGCAAAGAGAAGACTGTCAAAAAGCATTCAAAAGGAAGACGGGGCACGTTGAGCTCCCACGTCCAGCCGTGGAGGCGAGAGGCTAATGTAGGGATTGTTGGTTATTAGTGAAAGATAAAAATGACATTAAAGCAATAAAGGGCCAAATTGAAAGATGTCTCAAAATAAATAGCTTAGGAAGATTCACAGAAATGAGCTGTTTTCATCCTCTGTGGAAAGATTGGAAGAATTGCTTTTATTATTTCTATGGTTTTTTAAAAACATTTTCATTTTCTTATAAAACATGTCTAGCTTTTGAGCACTCATCCAATGTTGTTATTATTCCATTTAGAATTATTCCAAACTACTTGGCAAGAAATTCTGCTGGTTTTCATATTATTAAATCTTGCCATAGATTTCTTAGGGATGAAGAGGAAATTTGAAGGATATAATTATTTGGCTTTTAAATATTTCTATCAGAATATACCTTGTTTTGTGAAAATGTGCATATTTTAAAGAAAAAAAATATAGTCGCTATAACTGCTAGATACCTTTAGACTTAACGTACTTATATATTCCCAAATAGTCATTGGGATTCAGGTGCACTTGTACTAGACGACGCATGGCAATTCTATGTTTGATTGTCTCTGTACTGGTTCATACAAGCTTACACAGTGGGAACTTAATTATATCCTGAACCCTGTTATGTAAAAGAAAAGGACAATTGGCAATTATTTATATAAAATGAGAGTATATTTTGTGTAAATAGTTTTTCATTACATTGGATAATTATAATCTACATATGATACTGATGAAAAATGTATTTACATTTCTTTTTACCTATTCAAATAATTTTGTGAGTAACTTTTAGAGGTGCCAAGAGACCAGAAAAGATTTCTCTTTAGAATCAATTATTAATAATAAAAATATGAGGGGTGTCCATGGACTTTGTCTTTGATAATCCATCAGTAAGTAACTATGTCAACTGCTTTTCTTTCTTATAGTTGTAGTGACTCTTTTGAATTACTATACTACATTGATAGTAGTACTGATTGAGCACTGTGAAAAGGGATTTCAAGTAGAAACAACTTGTCTGGTACGTTAATATACATTTAAAGATGGGTCTCATTCTATACCCTGTAGATTTCTAACTTTTTAAGGTTTGCTAGCCACATTTCAATTAAGTCATTAAAATGTTGAAAGTAAGATTTTGAACTCTTTAAACATCGACGTGTAAGCAGTCTCTCATGTGACTGGCTGTGGATTTGGCTTTGCGGATTTGCTGTAGGAACCTGGTGCCGAGTGGAGGCAGGGAGTGTTTTTAGGAGGATCTTTTCCCAAAGAAGGGACTTGCCTTGTTGGAGGAAGCAGTCCATTGCCAGAAGAAACAGGCAACACCTAATGTACCATACTTCTCTCTGTCTCTGTCTCTCTCTCTCTCTCTCTCTGTGTCTCTCTCTCTCTCTGTGTGTGTGTGTGTGTGTGCGCGTGTGTGTGTGTGTGTGTGTGTGTGTACACAGCCCAGGGCCCTGACAGCCACAGGCATTAAGGTCACAGCTCACTGCTCACCTGCTACTCCTGGCTAGCAGGGCCTTCCCAGGCAAACTCTCCTCCTCTCTCACACCCCTGTGATACGCAGGGGTCCCCTGGGGTTCTGAGAGTGCTGAAATGGTGTGGCTAGCTAGTGGGAAGAGGATGTAGAACTTTGAGCAGAATCTCAAAAAGGCTTCTGCGACTTTCATGGCCATGCCCCTGAAAATGCCTAAACAGCTCCTGTCCAGCAGCTTTGGCCTCACTGGAGGCTGTGAAGTTACTGAAGAGGCAGCTGCCCCGGCCATCAGCTGTCTCTGTGTGCATGCTGGCCAGCTCACCTGCTCATTGCCTGGACATTGTCACCTTGCTGTGGTTTGATGCAGACAGAATCCACTCCAATTCACAGAAACCCAAGCACCACAGGATGGAGTGGTGACTGCCATGCTCTTGACGCAGCTAAAGGCACTGATTAGAAGTAACTGGTTAGTTTTCAGCTGATACTTGGAAGAATTTTTTTAATTGCTCTGCATATAATCATTCATATGCGTTGTGTTTTATTCATGTACTTTATATTTTATGCAATCATCCATATATATTTTATATAGCCAATTACCCTTGCTCTGTGCATATCATCACCCTGTCTTTCCAAGCCTCATTGAGCCTTTCCCTTTCCTTTGCCCCACAGAAACCTCTGGTAGGCCAGGCACTTCCCCTTTTCCTCTTCCTGCTCCCTTTTCTCCTTTCTCTTTTGAACATTACACATTTTCCTTTATTATCCTTTTGTCACAATAGTGGCCTTAGGCAATATTTGTTCTTATATCACTGAGATATTTCCCTCAGCACAATGCTTTCTAGTTTCTCCCGTTAGTATTTTATGAAATCGTCATTTTTTAGAGGTGCGTAGTATTCCATTATGTGAATGTACACCGTTTCACAGTCCGTTTGTTTGTTGATAGTTATTTAGGACATTTCCATTTTCTTCCTACTGTGAATGATGCCGCTATGAACATAGATATACAAATGTCCATTCGTGCCTCAGTTCTGATTGCTTTGGGCTATATTCCTAGTAGTGAAAGAGCTGGGTCGTATAGGATTTCTATGCTCAATTTTTTGAGGAAATTCTAGACTGGCTTCCATAATGGTTGTACCATTTTATACTCTACCAGCAGTACATGAGAGTTCTAATCTCCCCACATCCTCTCTAACATTTATTGTTTGCTGTTGGTAACTTTACTACTGCTGTTGGGGTGAAATGGCATCTGATTATGGTTTTTATTTGTGTCTCTCTCATTGCCAGTGGTTTAGAACATTCCCTCATGTTTCTCAGCCATTCGAACGTCCTTCTCTGTGAAGTCTTTTCATGTCTTTTGCCCATTTTGTGGTTGGTTTATAGTCTTTTTCTGTGGAGGTCTTATAGTGTTCTATAAACTTTGGTTATGAGACTCTTGTCTGAAATGTCATTGCCAATGTTTTTGGTTATTTTCCCAAATCTGTGAGCTTTATTGTTACTCCACTGAATAATGTTTTTGATGCACACAGGGATTTTTATCCCATTTGTTGATTTTATCTGTCCTAGGTTGTATGTTTTTGGCTGTTTGCAAGCCTGTTTATGCCATAAGCCAGGGCTTCTAATTTTGTTCTCATTTAAAAAAATATATATATATATATATAATTAATGTGATATGGATAGAGGGGACTTAGGAAAGAGATGGCAGTCTTGGAGGTGCCAGCCAATCTTTGCCAAAAAGTTTAGAAAGCCTTGCCAAACAGCTGACAGAAATCAATATTTTTTTTTAAAAAAAAGATGACACATCAGAGTGTGGAAATTATTGAAAACTATCATTACTATCACAAGCTAATAAAATTTTGCTGAAGATTTTTCTAAAATGGCTGGAACAGTACATCAGCAGGAAACTGACAGAAATTTAGGCTGGAATCAGGATAGACTGTAGAATGAAGGATTACTCAGGTCAGTGGATTTTGACTGAAAGTAGATAATACCAGAAAGATATTTGCTCATATTTTATTGATTATGCAGAGACTCTGGGATGCATAATAATGACAACATAAGTGACCAAGGATTTCTTGATGGCCATCAGCTGAAGCCATGACATGCCACAATTCTATGACAGAAGATGCTAAATTTTCCCTTATTTTTGTAGAATTTTTTTACCCTACTAGTATTCAGGAGTTCTGGTGGCACATGGATGTACAGGCTGGGCAGCCAATGAGAAGGTCAGAGGTTCAAACCCACTAATATTCCTGCATGTGGAGCATGGGCGTTCTCCTAGCATTAAGATTTGTGGCCTCAGACCCCAGGTGGGGGTCTCCTTGAGTCCGAGCCCACACAGGCGTGCTGGGTTGAGTAAACCTTCAGGACATGCGGGGATTCACTATGTCGTTGCTGTCGTCAGTATGCACAGTGCAGACAGCGGAGGCTAATGAGGAAAATGAGAGAATAAGATTGTCCAGGACGTGAGCAATGGGAACGGGCGGTGGACACTTGCAAGCACGTTCAGACAGCCTGCCAGATGGCCTGCTTTCCGCTCTCCTCCAAGGGGGCTCCTCCTCCCTTTTGTCTCCCTCTTCCCTTTCTCCTCTCCTCCCCCATGTC